AGAAGGTAAAGTTCAGAAACTAAACGCTAAATATCCCAAAAGTTCTTTGGACTTTTCCAAATCCCACAAACAACAGTCTACTAATCAAAGAAAATCTAAGGTTATCAGAGAAGAACCTATAGCAGTAGCTGTGGCAGCTCGTCTGCAAGATGCTCCCGATGCTGATGAAAGCTGCACTACAGTGCGTAGTTGTATGTCACCGGAGGCCGAGGCAGCTGAGGTTGTTTTCATTTCAAATTCCGCCTCCAGCAGTATGTCCGATTTACATGATATGGATTTGTTTGAAAATGTACATACATCTACGCCAGAATTCGATTTGGATACTGATTTAAGAGATATTATAAACAAACCAGTGACAGAAAACATCTGTTTTGAGTCACTGACATCATCGGCAGCACCATCAGCATTCACTGCCAAAATACCACAACAACAGTTGCCGGAATTTTGCGCAAATCAAAACAATAATAATCAAACAATAAATAACAGTAAACTTATAAACAAAAATACTCCTCAAACACCTTACACTGCGTCTGCAATAAACACCAATACTTCCACTACCACCACCACCACTAAAACAAGATCATTAGCTGAAACAAAAACAAATTCAAATATAAATTCCAAATTAGATTCAATATTATTATCATCATCATCATCACCTGAAAATGAGCAACTTGTTTTTGCCCAAATAGAAGAGCAAATTTCATCGGTGCTCTCTTCCATTAATGAAGTCGCTTCACAAAACACAAACACAACAATAGCATCATCTTCGTCGTCTTCAACGAAAAAAATTCATACAAATCTCTCAAACACTCAAAAATTGCCTGTCACAACAACATCAACAACGGCCGCCAGTAGAACGCCAGAAAATAGTTGTGAAGAATCGTTTAATACTAATAGTAGTAGTAGTTTATGTGCGGGTAATAACGCGAAAACATCTCGGGTTTTTTCACAAGACGTAAATATGAATACGGTTCGCGATTTAATAATTAATAATAATGATAATAACGCTAATGACAATACGGTAAAATTAAACGGTAATAATAATGAAAATAGTGCTACAAACGGTTATGTGAAATTAAGCTACAATACTAGTAACACATTTACTCCTATTCCTCCACCTCCGCCTAGAGGTTCTCCGCCACCACCTCCCATACCTCCTCCTTCTCAAGAACACGAGCCAGAACAAAGTCGCGATGAATGTGATAATACCTCTACCTCTGCTTTCAATCCTTCTACCTCCTTCTCAAACTCTGCTTCTTTGCCTTTGCTTCAAAAACATGTCGACTACCACAATTCCCATACACAATCACAGCATGACCTTCCCAAAGGCTTGAATAGTGCTTTAAGTCTACTCACTTCCTCTGTAATACGGCAAGAATCCATGGATTCACATTGTTCAGACAGTACCAACTTCAGTCAGTGTACTGCTATTAACGTGGCTCCTGAACAAAGCAGTGATTCAGTTCAAACATCCTCAATTTCAGATCTCAAAACCAATAACAACCAGCAGTGCGAGCAATCAGATGATAGTTCTAGTTCTGCTGGGGATCCTAAAAAATTAAGATTATTGTGTGCCGAAACATTAGCCTCCTTTCCGTATGGTGATGCAGTTCTAGAAGAATTAGCTACGGTTGCGCAAAATATTGGAGAAGCTCGTGCCGTTAAAGCGGTTGAAACCCAAAACAATATGCCTTATCCTCTGCCCGAACTGCCTCACATTGATGATTTGCAATTATCCCTAAAGGTGGGAGAAACTGCTCCTAAAAGACCAGAACCCCCTCAACAACAACAACAACAAGATCAATCTTGGCTTGGAGTACCCACCAGCAATGATCCCCAGGTATTAGTATGTCTCTCACCCTCCCAACGTTCCTATATACAACAGAAACCAGAACAGAAACCAGATGATTTGCTCGATGCCCATCAAAAGTTTGTAGAACGTCGTGGTTATCATGAATACACTAAGGAACAGTTGCAGACCTTGGAAAGAGAAAAATTGGCCGAGCAACAATTGCTACAAACTGCAGCAATGATGAAGAAATTACGTAAAAGTATAACGCCACCTCCCCCACAGATACCACCTCCACCCGTGCCGGTCAAGTCAAGTGAAACAGCATCTAAAGCACAAAATCTCTCTAAACGAACGGTCACTACAACCACAGTAACCCATACACAGACACCCAACGATGACGTCAACTTGACCCATAATAATGAACAAATGCCAGCAGCATCTAACGGAGAAAACAATGGAGAAGAGAACAAACATCGCTTGCTATCGATTATACAAGATACTGGCGAATCAAATGCTAATAAACAAATACACTCCGTATCATCATCATCATCGTATGAAAATAACTCAAGGCAAATAACAAACAGTGGCAGTGCTCCAGTCAAAGAACAGGTACCATCAGCAACATCAACATTAAACAACGGCACATCAACGAATTCGTATCAATTCCCACAACTTTCCGAACACAAAGGATCTGGAAACATGCAAAGTGTTGAAACAACATTGGGCCAGATGTTCCCCACAATGGGTTCATCCAATATCTTTGATCACGAACACAAACGTTTCTCAAATATAGAGTCTTCGAATACTGAACCCTTCTGCAGTCAAATCATGAATACACAACCCAAAAGATATTCCAGCGTGGAAACTCACAGCTATGAGACACAAAAACGCATTGAAAATGGTAAAGTAGTGCAAGATTTCTCCACTTCAAAACATGAAACCAAAACCTCTGGCGATAAACCCTCCGATGCAATCAGCAGTTTCCCTTTGAAAACGGCCATGTCTCAGGAAAGTAATAGTTTCTTGGCTAAAGGTAAAGAACAAGATATTCAACATAATTCACCAGCAGCAGCACCACACAAAGATGACCAAGAAATTATGTCAGCTTTAAATTTAAACAAGCACTCGTCAGATATTGAAAGAAAACAACAAACGGCAACACAAAACGAAACAACAATAAGAACCACTATAGCAGAAACTTCTCAAAATATTGCTAATGACGAGAACAAGAGTGCGAAGATGGATGAAAAAGATCTAATAAAAAAACAAGAACCAGAGAATACCGCACTAAAGAGGGGAATACAAGACACTTACGAAGAATTTAGGCAACGTGCCAAAGCAGCTGCTGATGCTGCCTCCACACTACCAACACTTAACTCGCCAACAGCAGCAGCAACGACAGCGAAAGTAACCTCGAATGGGGATAATAATGGTGAGATGATTTCGTCAACTACAACAACAACCCAACACAAAAAAACAACCACACTCAGCCACGACCATGAAAAGTTATTCAAAGAATTTGATGACCTTTCCAAACAATTGCACAGAGAACTGGAGACCAGCAAAGCCGAAAGGGAACAACGTGAAAGATCAGCCTCCATGTTTGATTTGAATCGAGTACACATGAGGCAAAAACAACAAATAGAAGAATTTAATAAGTCGCGACATGAACATCTTAAAGAATTGGAACAGGAAATCGAAAGATCCATGAAATCTCGTTCCTTAAGATTTACCAGACCTCAGGAACCAACCACTGATACAGTGGATCATCAAACAGGTCGTACTTATCAAATACCCATACATATAGAGAATGGCAATTCTAACACAACAGCAGCTGCCAAACCATCAGATAACTATGATGAGGCTCCCCCAGTGCCAGAACCTCCAAAAACCTATCAAATACCAATACAAATAGAAGGCTCTAACCCCTCATATGTCGACGATGCTCGCTTCCGTCGAGCAGAATCTATGTTTAATTTGGGTGACGATATGCATCATAGACAGCGCACTTACAGTAATCAAATGCAGTTCCAAAGAGCTGAAGATGATTGGTCTAAATATGCTAGTGATTTGGGTTCCTCGGAAAATATTGCACGTCCATTTGCCAAGGAAGTAGAAATCTGTTATCAACGACGACCAGGAGGTATACGAGCACCACGTTTGTCGGCTTCCACTAATGATTTATCATTTAACAATCAACACTCTTATGATCAGTATAATGCCTACAATGTGAGAAGACATCATGCCCCTATGTTGAATAGAGCTCCTGAAAATAATAGACCTAAGTTTGGCAGTTGTTATTCTATGATTGAACGGGATCCCAATCCCAAATATATAAGTACCACCACTAGAAGGGGGGTCTCGCCTGCTCCACAGCCTTCAGGTTTCTTCCCCTTGGACGGTTGTCATGTAAGAGAGGAAGATATGCGTCAAAGACGTGCTTCTTTACCACGCGAAATACACGAACAACAATTGAAGTATATAGCTAATAAAGAAGAGGAACTACGCACCGAATTTGAACGTTTACAAAATGAACGCAGACGTTTAATGGAGGAGGCACAGAAAGCTCAAGCTATGCAGATGGCTCAAACACCAACATCACCCAACACACCGACATCACCCATCACAAGACCTTTACGTGATCACTACAGATCAACACAAAAGTTACCAACTCTTACTGAAGATGAGGTATTTAGGCAACAAATGGCGGAGGAATGGTTGAACAAGGTGGCGGAACGTGAAAAACGTAGATTGCAAAATATAATTAAAATATCAAAGATACACGAAGATGAGGCTTACTCAAAACACAAGGCCAATATGGAGGAGGAATTCTTAAGTCGTGTTAAGGAGAGACGTCATAAATTGGCTATGCCAGCCGATAGTGACTGGGAATCGGGTGCAGAATCACAACCAACTACACAAGCCCAGCTCAGTGAGACGGAAGATGTACCGCCCGTAAAAATTATCGAGGGTGAGAAGGAGGCCAGCTTGCGACGTTTGCCACGTCATTTACGTGAATTTGCTAAATTCTCCAATCATCAGAAAGAGGAAATCGAAGGTGGTCATCGCGAAGAACATCAAGAAGAAGAACGTTCCGAAGAAACCACCGATAATTCCGTAAGCAAGGCGTTCAAAAAATCATCGGTGGTTAAGACAGTGAAAACGTTGCGCGCACCCATGTTACCAGAAAACGGCGGACACGGTGAGTCCTTTGACAAAACAGTGACATCCCAAAAAGCTTCAGCTTCAGCAAGCTCATGTTGTAACACCAAAGCCACTATTAATAACAATGACAAAGAAACAACTACACAAAATTCACAATCAGACTCAGATTCATACCTTTTAACTGGTGTTGGTAGCGTCTTGGGTACAGCTGTGGTATTAGGGTTGTCCGCTTGGGCGACTTGGAGAAGATTCACCTAGAACACACATTAAAATTTAAACACACAAAGCCCCCCACCCCCTTCCCCTCACTCTATTTATTTATGTATGTTTAACTCCACCACTCTTATAAACATCTCACAGATTTTTCATTGGTTATTTTGGTACAAGGTGCTCCTTTCATTATACTCATTATCCTTGTCGTAATGGTGTTTGTGTACTTTAACATGTTTATAGCTCTCTTTATCCTCCATACATCGTCTTAGAAAGTATTTATATTTTTCTTTTTTCTAATCACCATTAATTATGTATATCCCACTACTATACTAGTTACTACCTCCCGAAATCCTGGTGTATGTATATTTTTATTTTGTATTATCACATCCATGACATGTCCTTATGTGTGTGCGTGCGTGTGTATGTGTATATGTATGCACTTTATCCTATTTAGAATATTACTTTTTTTTTGTTTTTCTCTCTCTCTCTAACTCCGCTACCTTTTTGCCGGGATTTTTTGTGCTGCCAATTTAGAGAACGATAACGATGATTTTAGAAACGATAACGATAACTACGATGACGATGTAAACGGTCATGTTAATGGTGATCATGGCTATGATGTCTCCACATCAAACTCGCACACTTTTGAACCATTTTCAAATATCTGTACGAGTTTCCCAAGTTCTTCAGAATATTTTACACAATTTCCGGTTTCATTCGATGAGATGTTTGGGAAATCACCTTTTCGTAGCCGAATATTTGAGGAATTTAATAACTATTGGCGTAACTTTCATAATACAGGCAACAACTTTTAAAACCAGAGCACAAGAATTTGTAAACGATTCCTTTTAACCGTTAAAAACATTTTAAAACTCAAGAAAACAGAAACACTAATTATAAATACCTTAAACATGACAGGATTTTAATTAAACAACAACAACTTAACCACTAAAAACAATTTATACTACTAATTAACACTTTACCTACTATTTGTTGCTCTCTTTTTAATAAAAAATTTATTAAATAACATTGATTTTTTTTTGCAAAAGAAACAAAACATGAAAACAATTTTATATATTTAATTATTTATCTAGTGTATTTTGTTAAATTTGTGAACTGTGAATTGTTACCAAAACTTTGAAAAAAAAATTATCTAAAAAAAATAAAATTAGTTTAAATTTAGTTTAAATATTAACCCTCCCTTTAAAATTTTATTAAACAAAAAAACCATTTAATTATTTTATTTATTTATGTATATGTGCTATCAATGTTAATTTGATCATTCAATCGAAACATTGTTGTTCTCTTTTAATTTTTTTTCAAAACCTTATTTATGGATTATTAAATAACTTAAAAACCAAAACAAATTGTTGAACGTTTTTATTTATTTACTTTTTTGTTATTTTGTTTATTATAATTTAAAAAAAAAATTAATTTGTTACAAAAAAAGCTTTTTGCATGATGATGATGACATTTTGATAACACTTTCAACAATTAAATGCATAACTGAGTTTAGTTTAAGTAAATTATGCACTTACGCTCTCTCAATTTCCCTCCCTTACTTTTCTCTTTGTGTACTCTCAATTACACACAAATTATTGTATTTAATTTTTTTTTGCAATGTTAACTAAATACATGGTTGTACAATTAAGTAAATACATACTTGTATGATTAAATGTAGACTAAATTTTACTCGGAACCAGAACCACACCAGCCAACAATTTAATAATTTTAAACAGATGTGAGAAAAACAAAATCAAAGACGACTAGCTAGCATTGATTAATTTAGATTGCATCTTTGACGTTTAAATTCTAAGAAATGTTTGTTGCTTTTGGAACAATAACTTTTATTGAAAATGTCAATCATTTGATGTGAGCTAAATGTTCAAAAGATCGGTCTAAAAAGATGTGTTTTTTTTTTTTATCTGAAAAATAGCAAAAAAAATTGTATTGAAAAACTTAAGACTATAGACTAGACTATAGACTAGACTATAGACTAGACTATAGACTAGACTATAGACTAGACTAGACTAGACTATAGACTAGACTATAGACTAGACTATAGACTAGACTATAGACTAGACTATAGACTGACTATAGACTAGACTATAGACTAGACTATAGACTAGACTATAGACTAGACTATAGACTAGACTATAGACTAGACTATAGACTAGACTATAGACTAGACTATAGACTAGACTATAGACTAGACTATAGACTAGACTATAGACTAGACTATAGACTAGACTATAGACTAGACTATAGAATAGACTAGACTATAGACTAGACTATAGACTAGGACTATAGACTAGACTATAGACTAGACTATAGACTAGACTATAGACTAGACTATAGGACTAGACTATAGACTAGACTATAGACTAGACTATAGACTAGACTATAGACTAGACTATAGACTAGACTATAGACTAGACTATAGACTAGACTATAGACTAGACTATAGACTAGACTATAGACTAGACTATAGACTAGACTATAGACTAGTTCATAGACTAGGACTATAGACTAATCCATAGACTAGCCTATAGATCAGTTCATAGATCAATAGTCGATGGATTAGTCAACAGGAAATTAACAAAAAAAATGGCGAAGAGATCCTGAATACTGTGGATCTAGGGGAGTGAAAACTTTACAAAATACTCTCTAGCAATCAAAAGTGTTTGTTTTTGTTCTACAACAAAATGTCTGTCCTTCCGCAGCCCAAAGGAAGCAAAATGCGATTGAGACTGAAGGAAGAAACAAAACTGATATTTGGATTTCGAAATAATGTTGAGATTATGTTCTAGAAAGTCAGTTGGACCGTAATCCTGGATAATGTTGATCTACAATTTTTTCATTCGATTAAAATTTTAAACAAATTATTTGTAGAATTTAGGGTATTTGTAGGTCGTTGTTTATCAAATAATAGCTCTTTCGATTTTATCTTATTTAATGTAAAGTTTGTGCGTGTTTATATTAAGAATAATTCTGTTTTATTTCAAAAAGTGGGTTATGACATAAGACTGCACTTGGATTTGGTGTTGTGGCGGAGATTCATTAAATGATAATAAAGGGAAATTTTCATTAAATGGCACTCAAGTATTTGTTTGTTTGTTTTACTAAACAGATGGTCCATAATAAAAGCCACAAACAAAAATAAACTACAAGATTAAAAAAGTATGAAAAAAATCACTATAAATGCAATTAACCCTCTAATAACGAAACATTGTTAATGAAAAAAGTGATCTTTTACAATTGAATACCGTTTCACTTGGTTTGATCTGTTTACTTTATAAATAGATGAAATAAATTTAGAACTAAAATTGACTTTTAGTCATTTACAGGGTTAAATACTGATACAAATATAAATATGTTTATTAAACAATGGAATGCATTATTTCAAAAGTTAAAAATATACCAAAACAACAATAAACAAACAATTTGGCAATGACAACCGATGGCAGAGTGTACGAAAATACGACACAAATACAAAACATTTTAAAAATTTTGACACATAAAAATACATGTCTGTAATTAAATAACACCATTTCCAATTTAAAATTATAAATAAAAATGAAAAAATAAAAAAACAATTATGAAAATTTTCCACTACTGGCTCTCTAATTGGAAATGGTAATTGTGTGTATGTCTTTCTTTATAAATCTTTCTTTATAATATAAACATTAAAAATATATTTTTAGTGTTAATTTCATTTAACTTTTATTTGGTTCTTCCAAATATAGATAACAAATTACATTACCATAAGTCCAGAGCCTATCAAATACCCCAACGTCCTCGAGATCCTTACTCGACTGATCGTTTGCAACGGAGAACTAATAATAAACAAACACGATTTGCTGCAGCAACGAATCGTCGCAGCTGGTCTGAAAGCGATCTATTGCAGGAAATCGATAAAGATCTTAAGTTGGCTAAAGGATTTTTATTTCAAGATGGTGGGTGAGAAATTTGACACTAAACCCCATTATTTTACAAATAAATAATCCTAGTAGTGTCTATCTGATTAATCCCTTCCCGGCATAAATTGAATTCGATTGTAATGCATGTGGTGATTTTGCAAAAGAAAATTCGAAATTATTTTCCTTTTTGTTTTTAACCCTTAAACAAATAAATATTTTCTTTATTCTATCCTCTATATGTTTTAGAACTGTAAGTGAGAGTGATCTCCCATAAATATTATAAAATTATTTTCCGATCTAAACAAAATTGCTAATCTTATCAATATGATTTGATATTTTTGCTCAAAATTCAAATTTAACAATGATTTTGAAAACATTTAAAAAAGAAATTTTATGAAAATTGATTTTATTAAAAGTATTAACAAATAGCTGATCTATGTTAATGCTATAGCCTGGACTATGGGCTAGGCTATGGACTAATCTATAATGTAGACTAATTTTGCCTGGACTGTAATCTTAACTATAGTTTGAACTCCAACAAAGTCCATAGTACCAACTATTGTTCACACTTTAGTCAAGACTATAGTCGAGACAATAGTCTAGACTATAATCGAGATAATAGCGGAGACAATAGTGTAGACTATAGTCGAGACAATAATCCAGACTATAGACGAGACAATAGTCTAGACTATAGTCGAGACAATTGTCCAGATTTTAATCCAGACATAGTCCATAGTCTAGACTATTGTTCAGATATTAATCCTGTCTATAGTTGAGACAGTAATCCAGACAATAGACTATAATCCAGACTAAAGACGATACAATAGTCTAGACTATAGTCGATACTATAGTCTAGACTAGAGTCGAGACAATTGTCCAGAATATAGTCGAGACAATAGTCCAGACTATAGTCGAGACAGTAGTCCAGACTATAGTCGAGACAATAGTCCAGACTATAGTCGAGACAATTGTCCAGACTATAGTCGAGACAATAGTCCAGACTATAGTCGAGACAATAGTCCAGACTATAGTCGAGACAATTGTCCAGACTATAGTCGAGACAATAGTCCAGACTATAGTCGAGACAATAGTCCAGACTATAGTCGAGACTATAAACGAGACAATAGTCCAGACTATAATCGAGACAATAATCCAGACTATAAACGAGACAATAGTCTAGACTATAGGCGAGACAATAGTCTAGACTATAGTCAAGACAATAGCCCAGACTATAGGCGAGACAATAGTCCAGATTATAATCGAGACAATTGTCCAGAATATAGTCGAGACAATAGTCAAGATTATAGTCGAGACAATAGTCCAGACTATAGTCGAGACAATAGTCCAGACTATAGTCGAGACAATAGTCCAGACTATAGTCGAGACAATAGTCCAGACTATAGTCGAGACAATAGTCCAGACTATAGTCGAGACAATAGTCCAGACTATAGTCGAGACAATAGTCCAGACTATAGTCGAGACAATAGTCCAGACTATAGTCGAGACAATAGTCCAGACTATAGTCGAGACAATAGTCCAGACTATAGTCGAGACAATAGTCCAGATTATAGTCGAGACAATAGTCCAGACTATAGTCGAGACAATAGTCCAGACTATAGTCGAGACAATAGTCCAGATTATAGTCGAGACAATAGTCCAGACTATAGGCGAGACAATAGTCCATACTATAGTCGAG